CGATAGTAAAAAAAATTGAATTTCACCACTGGGGGGGGGGAGGGGACACTGAGGATCAGTTTGTAGCAGTAAGGGGGCAGTGGACTGAAAATGTTTGGAAACCACTGTACTATACTCTGATAATAGCAATGTGAATAGGGTTCATAACTGGATTCAAAATTTGTCACAATCACATCTGTAGACCAAAGTTCTGTGATCAACAAGGATTCTTCCGCACAATTTCCTATAAGACCATGTCTACATCCCTTCCCTTGATGGAGCTCTGGAACTTTTAAAATAGAAAGTGTATGACATAATATCTCACTATGCTAGTATCCATCTCTCTCTCTGACCTCTCTTTGACTGGAGGAATCAGCCAAAGAAAAACAAGACCCTTCATTTCTAAGCAACCCAACACTGAGCACAATATTAAAATCAACACATAGTTTTTATTGCACTCAACAGTGTATTAACAAATGTTACCAAATATCATAAAATCAAGAGATGCAACGGAGCAAAATAAAATTTATACAAAATTCAAAATACTATTAGTACCCCCTTTAAAGTTTTTTTTATTTCAGATTATGATTTAGGATATGTTTTTCGAAACACTAGATACTAAAAATGGTATGATGCAACATGAGTTAAATCTTTATGTCTGACTATATGCTGGTTTATATATAGCATGTATATACAGTATTTTTATAACACATACTGTACCCAGGAGACAACCCTAGAGATCATGAGATTAAAAGTTAAAAAACTTTAAAATGTGTAAATATTGAGTCTTCCCATTTTACCCAAATTCCTTCATCCATTGTCATTCTTTAAAGGTAAGAAGTATGGAGCTTGGAGAAAAGAAATGATAAAACAATGCAAGTAAATTTCTGACAGAAAAGGTAGCATTTCAGTTATAAAATATTTACACATCTTGGTTCGTACATCACACTAACCTACATAATATGGTTTCTTTGTTTTTAGCTTAGCTTCTTATTGTTTATGAATCATATGTTGAGTTAACCCCGTCACAGTTTAATAAGCCACAGTATGGTTACTACATGGTGCAAGACAGATCATGTGTTGTTCATACTTTTAAAAATGCTCACTTACTAAAACTGTGTTTACCAGGATGGTTAGCTGCTAAAAAACTGGTCCTAAAATATGGCATAGATATTTCTTCTTCACTTCAAGTAAAGTACTTAGGCTTGAAAATACCATTGTCAGTGAAACATTTGACTAGAAACATGTGTTCCATATGATCACTGGGTTTTATCCATCTGGATGAATCAGCTCTAACAGTATCACACTGGACAAGCTCCTTTTTTTTCTTTGGAAGTAATAATCCAATAAATGTCCTTATCTAAATCCCTGTCTACCAAAAAAAACATTTTCAACAATGTATCCGGCTCTATTGCATGTCTTGGGTATTTATCACTAACCTGCCAGGGAAATAGTTGCATAGGAAAGGGAAGAAAAAAATACAGAAATATAACCTATTCACACGGCTGCGATCTGCCTTGGATATTGCTGTGTACAGAACATCAAGCCTAATTTTAAATAGTCAGCTGATGTTTCTAGAGGGCTAAGGTACTCACCCTGTGGTGATATCATCCTCTTCAGTCATTGTCTTGCCCATTAAGTCACTGTCACTCATGTACCCAGATTTAAGATCTACATCATCAGCATCAAGGGATTCCACCAGCTCCAAGCGGGAAATGTGGCTGAGCTTGCTGGGACTGCGCATGGGCATGGTGTGGGAATAATGAGCTCGTTCCCCATGCATGTACCAGCTAGGAGTGCCTTCTGAGCGACACCCCCCACCGACCGAAGGAGCATCTCCGGCTTGCAGGCGTGGGCTGGACTGACCATACCGCCACGAGAGAGGGGAGGAACGGTTGGACAGGCTAGATACACTGTGGGGATTGGCTTCATCGCTATCATAGCACGTCATCTCCAGCGAGCTGCAGGAAGAGAGAAGAAAAGGTGGAAAATTAGGTCAAGGAGGGATGAGATTCAGCAAGACATTTCTCAAAATCCAGAGTAGACTTATCTGAGTTGCAAGGCAAACTTCTCAGATGGGGCTTTTTTTGGGAGCTTAG